TGACCTATATAATTATGAAAGACATGTAAAAGAGCTCCAACTTGCGGTTTTTAATTTTAATACAAAGACTTTTACCCTTATTGAGGATATTTCACGGAATATCAGTAGCTTTATTGCTCTTTTTTTTTACTAGCTCGTAGATGTCATAAATAAAGGCACAATAGTTAAAAGATCAATATGATTATCAGGATATGTGGCTTTTGGATATCCGAATTCCGGATATCCATCCAAACATATGAATACATCGGTTTAGATCTGTATCCGTGGAAAAAAAAATCTATTTACTTTTCTTTTGAATTTTTGCAAACAAATAAATAAATAAATTATAATGCTTTATTTATGTAGAATGAAAACGTCAATAATGAAACAAAAAATAGGCAATCCGTATTTCCCTATATCAAAGCCGATATTCCAGCAGATAAAACTGTACGAACAAAATAACAAAAATATGATTTGGTAATCCTATGAAGTAAGGATACTAGACTACTAGTTACCAAATCTGGATACACAATCTCTCTGAATAAATCGATATATAAATCACAAGATGTGATACTAATTAAGAGTGAACTAGCTAAAGTAGATCCGAAGGCTGATCAGCCTAGTACACTGATCAACATCGTGTGTAGTCGCAAACTCATATGCAAAAAATAAATGGTCCCAAATTTTTGGTTATTAATATTATACCATTTAGGAAAATTCATGATTTATTGAGCTTTTAAGTTCAATCCTAGAGTATAGCAAATTTTTAACCATAACAATAAGGATAATCACTAATTTCAATCTCTAAAACATAAGGAAAGTAATAAAAGGTCTTTAATTAACCTTCATCACCTGATTTGAAAAGTAAGTGGGACGAAATCGGACAATGGAGTGGCTAGCCTAGAAGGAGCCGGTGAGTTCCTACAAAGAGGACACGTGGCACTTGTCCGGAGCCATTCATCAACACAATCAGCATGGAAACAGTGGTTACACTCCGGTATACACCGAACCGGATCCCTAGCTTCATAATCACATAGGCATATCGAACATGGGCCGTTATTGGGCCTAGGTAATCTCCGGCTATCTCCAAGCACTATTCTTGGATATGACTCTATCACTGGCCGGTCTAGCCCGAGCTTCACTTCAGTCGCCGGCGAGTCAAGAACTCCCTCACTCATGGCTTCGTGATGGTCCCTTCCACTAACTTTTGACCTAATGCAGATGTATGAAGCGAGCATTATAGTGGAGATCAGAACCAGGATGCTCACCGCGATGGCTATGCCGTACCCGAGCCCTACCCCATTCGCCGGAGGACTTGTCGGAGACATTTTTGTGTGTGTGTGT